CACCCACCACACCCCCACACACCCACCCCACCCGGGGGGGGGGGGGTTGTCCATGCCACAATCCTTTCTCCTCCATTCTTTCAGAATTTTAGGCATGCACACACATGTCTGGCATGAGTTTCAAGCAACCTGGTCTGGGACTCAAACTGCCATTGGCCACATGGGAGTCCTGCATTGTAACAATTATGCCTTCTGCTGGTCCCTGGGTTTCATTCTTATCAATGACAAAATCATTAACCATATATATTCTACTTTTTAAAAAAATTTATTTATTTCTCCTGAGAAAGGGAGAGAGATAGACAGGCACCCACTGCTAACAGGGCATTGGCACTGCGATCTCCCCCAGCCTGAGCCAGTGTGGGTCAAGAATATGTGCTCCTGTGCATCTGATGTCCGCTGTGGACTCGGGGCCTTCCCGCATGGCTCCCGTGTCCCGGAGTGCTGCATTACTGCTGCATTACTGCTGTGCCAGCAGTTGCTTCCGTAATCAATGTGTTTTGAAGATGCCTCTTGCTTTTTGGTGTTTGAATCTCTGCTTATGCTATCATTACTAAAAAAATGAAAAATACAGTGGCCTACCTGACCCACTAGTGCCTCTGCAAATTCATAGATTATGATCCTGGCCTTTTCTCATTTTGCTTAATGGATATTAGAAAATTTTGCCACTTCCTGCTAGTCTCATATTGAACAATTCACGCCTAGAATATTACTGACATCTCTCCCACTTTCATGGGATAAAAGAGATGTTATTTGTGAACATCTTCAAGTTTATCTAATTTCCACACCTTCCAACAGTGTTTCTCAAAAGCAAGCATGCCTCAGAACCTGCTGGCGGGCTGTACCCCTCCCTTGCAGCCTGTAATCTACCAGGTCTGGGGTAAGGTTTAAGAATTTGCATTGATGGTAGGTTCTCAGGTGGTGCTGAGGTGCTGGGCCGTCAGCTACCCTCTGAGAACTTTTGTCCTACAAACTTATCTTCAGTCACAACCACGAAACTTTATTCTCTCCTACAGTAACCGATCGTGAGCTCCCCATCCTGCTCACAACGAATCCTGTCCTATATGGTCCAAATTCTACTCCTTCTACCTTTCTGAGACCTTCTCTGTCTCTTGTTCTCTTCTTTCTCCTTTTCCTCACCGAATAAATATGTTCATGCACTCTTACTCTGAGAAAATGAAGGCTGTCGGGCAATGGCAGCTCCTGCTGTGTTCATTATTCTGACAGTTTGCTGGTGGTGACTCGAGGAGGTAGATGACCCTGGAAAGAATCTCAAACACATCTGAGGAACTGGGTCTTCAGGAAAAGGATGTGGGTGTTGGGGGCCTCTGCTTAGAATAGGAGTAGACAATGGGGGCTCCAAGAAGAACTGAGCACTCAGTGACCAGCTGAGCCCCAAGGGTGCTCTCAGCTTATACAGAAGAATTACACGATATGAATGCAACGTGTGTGAACTGGGGGTCTTCTGAGTTCACAGACTCTGGCTACTCTTTAAGGAGGTTGCACAGATTGGATGAACTGCCCTTTCGTATGTGTGTGTCTGGTGGAGAATGGTCTTTCCCTGTTCATATCTGGAGATGTGGAGAGCCATGAAAACTCCAGATGGGGAAAGCTCATCCTGCCCTGTGCCTTCAGACCAAGCTGTTGACTGGCTTACAGAGCACTCGAGGAGAAGCTTAGTGTTATCTGTCTCTGCTGAGATTTCCACTCTCTAGTCTGGCCAGGGAGAAACATTTTAGGAACTAAAAACAAAATTGCAACAACTTCGAACTCAAGAAAGGAAGTGAAAAAGTAATGTATACTACTCACAACTGAATTTTGAAAAGCAAAAGAAGCAACTATTTTATGAGAGACATCAAAATCTGAAGAAATGAAAACCATGAGTGAAAAGTTAGGAAATGTGGAGGAAAAAAATCTAAGAGACTTGCTTTGGTCTGAGTGATGGAAGTTCCAGAAGAAGAAGGGGAAATGGAAATAAAACCAGCATCACCCAATTACTAGAAGGAGAAGCTGCAAGCAGAGAAGTCTATAAGCCAAAGAAAATATTGTTTCCAAATAGAATGGGCTTACAGACTGGCAGAAGGATTATTGGAAGAGAAGATACACAATTTGCTATTTCCTGGTAAAGTTTACAAACCCAAAGATAAGGAGAAAAATTTTTATGAGATTCTTCACAGGGCACATACTTAAGGAAGAGAATCAAACCAGCTTTGAACGACTCTTCTCTGTAATGGAGGTAAACAAGAGTGGAGTGCTGTTTCAGACTTCTAAGTGAAAAGAACTGGATGTTAAAGGACCAGGTTTATTTGAGGGCAAGAGAAAGCCAGTGCTATACATTCAAGGATATGGAAAACAGTGATTCCTACCCTCTCCAAGAAAATTATTTTAAAAGTATCTTTAAACAGGAAGTAAATCAGAATAAAGCTATCCAGATAGGGA